GTCGCTTCAGACTGTGCGCTCTGCAGCCTGAGCTCCTGTGCCTTCTTCCTCTCTAATCTTGGCCTTGACACATGGAGGACCTGGGTCAGAGTTGGTGCTTGGGAGGGAGACAGCAACAGTTGGGCATCTTCTGTTGCTGCTGTGTGGCCTTCTAAAGGAGACTGCAGCAGAGTTGAGTACCAAGCGTCTGACAGGTGATCGAGGCTGGTGACTGGTTAACAAGAATAGCAGAAGAGATACTTGTTGCAGAGAGAGAGAGATGCTTGTTGAATGAATGCATTAGACTGGGGGATCGGAACATCTCTTCTGTAAGTCATGGCATGTTTTTGGCTTTGTCGGTCATAGTCTCCACGGCAACAACTCAGTTCTGGACAGTATCAGTGAGCATGGCTGTGCGCCAATAAAGTTTTACCGATATGGACACTGCTGTGTAAATTCCGTGTGGCTTTCACATGTCAAAAAAGATTGTTTTTGTTTTGTCCAGCCATTCAAAATCATGTGCTCCCCTGCACTAGAATGGGAGCCCCCACATGGATGTTTGGATGTTGGGTTTGCTTCTGTAGGTGTTCACCTTGTATCTGACAGATGGACTGAGGTGCTGGCCCTTTAAGGCTGGGGGTGTGTAGGGACAGGAAAAGCATTCCAGGCAGGGAACAGCTGTGACAAAAGCCTGGAGTCAGGGAGAGTACCCCAAGTACCCCTCTGGGGTCCTCTGGAGTACCAGTGACTGGTGGTGGCAGTGGGGCAGTCAAGGGTATGGAAAGCAGGTCAGGCTGGGATGCCAGCCCCTAGAAGTGGTTTTGTTGAGTGAAGGCCCTGCCCCGTTCCCAGAACCACTAGCCTTATTTTTAACCCTGCTGACGAAAGCTAATCCGAATCCCTGCCCCTCCCCTTGCCCCAGTTACTGCTCCCCGCCCCCTTCATCTGCCCCCAGCAGGGGCAGAGGTCCTGGGAGACCCTTGCCTGCATGCCTCAGGCCGGATGTGCCGGATGTGCCGAGTGGTCCCAGTAGAAATGGCTGACATATTTCCCAGGCAGGGTCTTGTCTCAGAGCTCTCAGGGAGCTGAGCAGGCAGGGAGCAGCCCCAGGCAGAGCTGGGCTTTTGACGACTGTGCATCTGCTGACAGAGCTTTCCAACGGCTACACACCTGCTCACTTCTCAGACTTCACTGAGCACCTGGCTGAGGACACACAGATTCCTGGGCTCTGTCCCCTCCTGCTGTGATTCAGTAGAGTGGGGTGGGGCTCTGGGATGGGCCCATCTGAGAAGCCCCCAGCTGGAGATGCTGTGCTGGGGCAGGGCGCATGGATGGCACAATGAGTGGGTCTGGACTAGAATGGCAGCTGCTGGATACCAGGAGCTCTGCCTGTCCCTGGCTCCTTGAGCACCTGCCGTCCCCCATGGACACTACCTCCGGCAGGCAGGTGGACTTGGAGAACCACAGGACTTCATTTTGAGGGTGCAAGGAAGCCTGGCAAAAGTTTGAAGTGAGAGGTGAGGTCATGAATGTCTGGGTCCTGTGCTACCTGCTTACGTGTGCGGGGACAGCTGGGAGGGGGCTCTTGGGGACTGTCAGGGGTGCTGGGAGATGGGCAGGTTTAGGAGGTGCAGGGAGAGCAGGAGAGATAGGAGCTGCGGAGGGAGACTTGAGCAAGCCTGGAAACTGGAAGTTTGCCCTAAGTCTGAGAGGCAGGGGCTGGCAGAAGGGGGCTGCCAAGGGGGCTTTGTGTGGAGCCAGGCTAACAGCGTGGACAGAGAGGAGAGAGTGTGCATCCTACATCCTACCAGTGCCCCTGCCCTCCCTCCCCCTTACACCCCAGTCTGGCTGCCACAGTTGATCCCCCAGTATCATCCAGAACTCTGGGTGGAGGCTGGCCCACAACACGGCTTGCCAAAGCACTGAAAATGAGCGTCATTCAGCTCACATGACCAAAAAAGGCCATCTTCCCCGGGGCTGCCTGGCCAGCGCTGGCCCTCCTCCCCACCTGGGTTTCAGGTTCCCAGGGAAGCGGCTTGGAAGGTCTTAGCCTGACAGGCAGCAACGGGCAGGGCTGAAAGTGAAACGTGCCCAGCGCCGTGGGTGCCATCCTGGCTTGGGTTCCAAGTCGCCCACCTTGTTTTCTTCCCGTGACTGGCACTACCACCACCATCATCACATGGGCTGAGCACTTCCAGGGGCTGCCTCCCACGGAAGGGGGATCATTTCCACATGACAGAAAGAGAAACTGAGGCACAAAGTGGCGAGAGCCGTGTCCTGCACTCCCAGTGGAGTCAGAGCTAGGGTGAGGTGGGGCGAGGAAGGGACTCGGTCTCAGCCTTCAAGCCAGTCTGTTGCTAAGAGTTCATGATTTGTTCATCAAGTTTTTTTCTTTTGGCAGTGATTTGACTAGTACAAATGCTACATTAAGGGTCTCTCTCTCTCCACGTTTAGAAGACGTCCCATCCCCTGAGTCCCTCCTAGGAGGTGCTTTCCTTCTTTTTCATATCAACTTGTTCATTTTGCAAACAAACTCCTCTGTCTGCAACTAGGGAAAAACTCTTGTATTAAAATATGACTTATCTTGATTCCTGGCCTTTCTTGGCCTCCCCAAACATTCTGTCACTACGGTGAGCACCCGAATCATCTTAAACCGTCCCTAGACAAAGCCAACACTGGAATTCTGGGCCACTGATCCCCAAACCGTGCTCTGCCTCTCCCCTCTGCTGCCTCTGTGCCTGAGAGTGTGTGAGTATGTTCATGGCTGTGTCTGTGTTCACAGCTGCCCACAGGTTCATGGCCATGGGGCTATGCATGTTCATGCATGTCCCCCTTCATTCGGGAGGCAGTAGTGTAATGGGAGGGATTCGGAAGTGGGACAGTTCTGGGTTTGGCATCTCATGCCAAACCCATCATGGAAGGGAAGAGAAATCCTGTTGTGCTTAGAGCCAAAGCCTGGAGCCCAGAAGGCCTTGGTTGGGTTCCTTACTCAGTCATTAGTTGTGTAACTGGATTGGGAGTCGGGGGGAGGGGCGAGGACAGGGTTCTTGCACACTTCCCCATTGTGCTGGGTTTTCCTCCATCACATAGCTCCAGGGGCGATTAGATGAGTTCATCTTGGCTTGCCCTTGGCTTGCCCTTTGCACTTTGTGGTCCCTGCTAGTGTGTCCTTCAGTGGGTACCTGTCTGAGTCTGTCACTATCACCACCCCCAGCCAAGTGGAGCAGGGAAAAGCTGCTAGAGGCCCCTTGAGGTCTCAGAGGAGGTCAGCATGGGGCGGTCAGCTCCCCTGTCTGGGCCCACTTCTATGCTAGACATGGAGATAAGTACATGGGCTCACTCAGACCTGACCCTGCAGTTTGCCAAGGCACCAAGCTCTGGGACCTTCTCAGCCTTAGCACATGCTCCCCTCACTGCCTGGCTAGCTGGTCCCATCCACCTCTCACAGCCCCAAGGTTTGTGTTCCTGTAGACTTCAAGTTAAAAGTGTTGTATTGCCTGACCAGCACACCCATATCATGGATCCATACTAATTTAAAATCAATAAATATTAATTAATATATTCTCATTCTATTCTCTACTTTTCCTTCATGAGATGTCTCATAATTTTAATTGTAATTAAATATTTGGAAGATGTATTCATTTATTTAAAAGGCAGAATGACAGAGAGAAAGAGACAGAAAGCCCCTGGCTCCAGGTTTTGGATGAGTCCAGCTCTAGACAACCAGTTGGGTAGTGAACCAGCAAATGGAAGATCTCTCTTTCTGTCTCTCTCTCTGTAATGCTTCCTTTCAAATAAATAAATCATATATATATATATATATATTTATAGATTTAATTGGAAAGGCAAATATATAGAGAGAAGGAGAGAAAAAGATCTTTGTGCTGTGTGCTAGTTCACTCCCTAAGTGGACGCCACGGCCAGAGATGAGTCAATCTGAAGCCAGGAGCCAGGAGCTTCTTTTGGGTCTCCTACGCAGGTTCAGGGACCCAAGGTTTTGGACCATCCTCGACTGCTTTCCTAGGCCACCAGGGAGCAGGAAGGGAAGGGGAGCAGCCAGGACATGAACCAGCATCCATATGGGGTCTCGGCGATGCAAGATGAGGATTTAGCTATTAGGCTATCATGCTGAGCCCATAAGTAAATCTTAAAAATAAAATAATAGTCATTAATAGACCTGCTAGGTATTCTATTTGATGCATTAATAAAGAGCATACACGTTTGTTCTGTTAAGTAAGTTGGTAGCAGTGTGTGGCTGTGTCCACACCCCTTTGTAAGTCTGTGTTTTATGCATTTGAAAGCATTATTCCAAGAAGGGGCTCATAGGGCTCACATGGGACCTGTGATGAAAAAGAGGTTCCAAGTCCTATTCTGGGGCCTTGGCCTCCTCTGCGTTCAGCCAGCAGCTGGGGAAAAGCAGAGGATAGAGGTGTTGTTATAGACCCGGCCTGGAATTACATATGTCCCTACCTGCCCACAAAACATTGAGCAGAACTCAGACACCTGACCCTGCTGAAGTGCAGAGGATCCTGGGGAATGTAGTCTGGTACAGCAGTTTGAGTCACAGGGCCAGATAAACCATTCACTGTAGAGGTGGGCATTTGGCGTAGCAGTTAAGACACATCCCACATCATGGTGCCTGGGTTCCAACACCCAGCTCCTCATTCCATCTTCCTGCTGATGCAGACCCTGCAAGGCAGTGATGGTGGCTCAAGTGGCTGGGTTCCTGTCGCTCATCTGGGTGACCTGCATTGAGTTGCAAGTGCCCGGCTTTGGCCTGGCCCAGTCTGATAACTGCAGGTGTCTGGGGCATGAACATGTGCATGGGAGCACTCTCTCTCTCCTTCCCTCTCTCTCTCCTTCCCTCTCTCTCTCTCTCCCTCTCAAAGAAAAATTGTTCAGTCCTCCCTGGCAGTCTGAGTGAAGGAATGCTCTGTGGAGTGTTTCCTTGCAGGCCGAGAAGAGGAGCTGGGAGCTGGTTTTTCCTGGGGTCCTGAGCCCCCTGCCTATTGTCTTTGTAGGACAAGTCACGCCAAGGCCAAAGCTGAGGCCGCGGAGCAGGCTGCACTCGCTGCCAACCAGGAGTCCAACATCGCCCGCGCCTTGGCCCGGGAGCTGGCTCCGGACTTCTACCAACCAGGTAGGACCAGCCGCGTGTGGGGTGGGCGGGCCTTGGGGTGTGGACTTCCTTTTGCTTGCAGGTCAGCTGTGCTGCCCACATGCACCACTCTGGGGCATGGTGCAGGGGTGGCATGGGCCATGTGAGGTGCGGGGCAGACACATCTCAACTTCATGCTGGGTTGGTGGCAGTGGTGCTGGGGTGGTGCAGGCCAACCTGGCTCTTCCCTCTGCTCTGGGTGATAGAGCTGGGCCCGGTTAGAGGACCAAGGAGCTTCTGAAGGCTGTTGATGCGTGTTGACTTGTTGAGTGTTTGGTGTCAGGCATGTGCTGCAACACGGGGGTCATAGCCAAGCCCAGAATCCAGAAGGGCCAGAGAAAGCATGGCAGTGGGTGGTGAAGGGACAGAGTAAGTCACCAGATCACACGTGATCCAACCCTGACTCTGGGGCTTCTCAGTCATGAGACCTAGGGCAAATGCTGTCACCTCCAGGACCCTCAGCTCAAAAGATCTGGTGAGTGGGAGGAAGGATGGCACCTGCTTTGCCCTGCGGGGGGTGGGGGGTCAGTGCATGGGACTGCATGCCCAGGTCACAGGTTGCTCTTAGTTGTAACGCCGTGAGGAATGAACCCTGCACAGCCCCAGGTGTGCTGGATGCTGGGAGCTGAGAACAGGTTCCTGGGAACTTGTGGTAAGTTCTTGACCTGCTAGAACAAGAGCGAGTGTTAAGGGAGGCTGCTCTCAGGAGAGGCCACTTGAACCGGAATCCTGAAGGCCAGCGCAGGCCCAGTGGGTCTTGAGCATGACAAGTGGTTCAGCAGGTTTGAGGGGAGCCTGGAGTGTGCACCCCTCAGGGAGATCAAGGGCTGTAGGTGTGGCTTGGCCAGGGCCACATTCAGAACTGCTGCCCCAGGAACGTTGGGTGGGACAGGTGAATTGATGGAAGGAGAGTGCAGGTGCAGGCAGGGGGTGGTCAGCAGCTGGCAGGCCAAGTGGAGAACTAGGTCCAGCTGGGGCAGGGAGGTGAGGTGGCAGAGCCGCTCCCGACTCAGGCTCAGTCGCTGCAGGGTGGGCGAAGACCAGGAGGAAACTTTCTCAACCGAGGAGTTTCAGGGGTGCAGCGGGCAGACACTTGGGATGCCCAACAAGAACAGGGCAGGGGCACCTGAGATACGCGCTGGAGCTGAGTCACTTCTGGTCACAGCGCTCCCTCTGCTGGTCAGAGTCATGGCTACCCCTGCTTGGACCAGGTTGCTCATGTTGATACAGGTAGGTCCAGTGTGGAAAGATAAGCAACACACCTATGGGCATCATCCAGGCAGTGTGGCTCCACCCTTGGCTGTGCGACCTTGGGTACTTCGGTTCAGCTCTCTGTGTCTCCCATTCCTGCCTCTGGGAATTGGAGGTTCGCAGTAGCCACAACCTGGGGTGGGGGAGCTGGTCAGTGAGTTGGGGTCTGGGAATGAGGACAGAGCCTGACACCACAGAGTCCCGCCGGGTGTAGCGAGGGAGGGTCAGTCAGAGAAGTCAGGAGCCAGCCCGCGACCCGGCTGTACCATCCAGCCTCCCCGCCTTGCCCCCTGGCAGGTCCCGAGTATCAGAAGCGCAGACTGCTCCAGGAGATCCTGGAGAACTCGGAGAGCCTGCTGGAGCCGCCGGAGCGGGGCGCCGCGGGTCTCCCCGCGCGGCCCCGCGAGAGCCCGCAGCTGCACGAGCGCGAGACCCCTCGGCCCGAGGGCGGCCCCCCGTCACCGGCCGGGACGCCCCCACAGCCCAAGCGACCCCGACCCGGCGCGTCCCAGGACGGTCTGCTGGGCCCCGGCGCCTGGAACGGCGAGTCCGGCGGCGAGGGCAGCCGGCCGGCCACCCCGGCGGGCCCCGGCCGCCGCAGCCCCTCGCGCCCGGCCAGCGAGCACATGGCCATCGAAGCGCTGCAGGCGCCACCCGCGCCGTCGCGAGAGCCCGAGGTGGCCCTGTACCGCGGCTATCACAGCTACGCCGTGCGCACCACGCCGTCCGCGCCGCCGCCCTTCGACGACGAGCCCCAGCCTGAAGCCGCCGGACCCGACTCAGCGCCCACGTCCCCGGCCGCCGCCGCTCCCGGCCCAGCCCCGGCGCTCCGGAACCCCGAGCCTACGCCCGAGACCCCGGCCAAGTTGGAACCCAAGCCCATCGTGCCCAAAGCCGAGCCCAAGGCCAAGGCCCGCAAGACTGAGGCCCGAGGGCTGACCAAGGCCGGGGCCAAAAAGAAAGCCCGGAAGGAGGCGGTGCAGGCGGCAGAGACGGAGGTGGAGGTGGAGGAGGTGAGGCTGCGAACTGTGGTGGGTGGGGAACATGAGCTGCAGGCAGGACTGGGGTGTCCGTGATTGGTGGTGGTAAGTAGCAGGATCTGGCTTGATCGTAAAGGATTTGGGGCTTAAGGGACAGCATAGGGTGCTCCCACCTTGGACCAGGTGGCTACCTGAGCACCTGGTATCCTATCAGCCTGAGCAATTCTCAGAGCACTGGGCAGCTGGAACATCCTCTGCCCAGTCAGGGGGCTTTGGGTACCCCCAACAGCAGGTATAGCAGGGAGGGCTTCCTGGAGGTGGGGCAAGGGCACAGCAGAGCTGCTGGCTCGTGGGCGGCTGGGAGCTGGTATTGGCAGCAGCAGAGAGGAGGCTTCCTGGGACAGAGCGATGCCTTCCGGAGTAGCTGGCAGCCAGGAAGATCCCAGGCTGTTTTGCCTGCTGGGTGTTTCGGGATGTGCCCTTGTCCCGGTGGCCCAGAAGAATCTGTCTGGATAATTATTTCTAAGAATCTTTCTGGCTGTGATGAAGCTTGCTCCCAAAAGGCCCAGCCCGGTGGTGATGGGCGGGGTGTGGGGGACTTGACGCCACAGCCCGGGGGACTCAGACAGCCTCTGTCCCCTCTTCCAGGTGCCCAACACCGTCCTCATCTGCATGGTGATCCTGCTGAACATTGGCCTGGCCATCCTCTTTGTGCACCTGCTGACCTGAGCCTTGCTCACCAGGTGTGGTGTGGTGATGGCGGGACTGGGTGGGAGCCTCTGGGGCAGAGATGGGGCACATCTGGTCTGGCCGTCCCAAGGCAATTGCAGGCAGGACTCAGAATTCGATAATCCCGCCTGCCCCGTCCTTGCCCGGCTCATTGTTCAGTTGCTGGTTTTGTAGGCCCCACAACTCTGAGACCGTGGTTCAGATGGTCCTTGGCAGGAAATGACTCCCCGCCCCTGCTGGGTGTTCTGGGAACAGAAGAAGGGGAAATGGGGGGCTGTGCACCCAGCTTCTGTCCTGGGACTAGTGGAGGATGCAGGGAGTGACAAGGAACAGACCCTGCACAATATGCATGTATACACACACGCACCCTCCATCAGCTGGCCGTTTGTAGAGCACCTGCTCTCTGCCAGGTGAACTTGCAGGCATCATTCCCTCATTCCTTCCTTCCATTGGCCAGTATTGACTGAGTAGCTGCTCTTCTGGGCTTGCGGCGGGCAGCAGGGGCTCCTGTCTGAAGACACTGGGTGAACGCTGCTAGGACAAACCTTCCTCTTTAAGCGCTTCATGAAAAAGTCTGGCTATTGTAGCACCAAGCCACAGGTCTCTGGATAGCCTCGTCCAGGCCCCCAGTCTAGACCAGGCTCACTTGCGACGCTGGAACCTTCTCCCACTGGTCCTTTCCCTTACACCCCCAAAGCCCCACTCTGTCACTTGGTGCCACGTGTGTGCCCTTAGTCTGAGGAGGCTGGGGACCAGTGACAAGGGCTAGGATGGGCCGGAGGAGAGTGACCCTTGCTGGTCTTAGGATCAAGTGTGCAGCAGGCCTGTGAAACCTTGCTCGGGGACCAGTTTTGGCAGCTGGGGCCCTGTGGGGTGTCTGCCTCTTGCCATATCCCCTGCCAGATCCCAGCTTAGGATCCCTCCCAGTAACAATATCAGCCTGGTTACCACTGCTGCTTCCTGGAGGACCTGCTGAGGGCCCTGATGATTTCAGCCTGGGACAGAGGTGGGGGCGTGTGCCAGCAGTGCATGGGACAGAGATGGGTTTCCTGGGGCTGGGAAAGGCCTCTGGAACTTGGCTGTGGAGCTTCAGAGTCAGAGCAGAACGCAGTCCTGGGGGTGTGGGACAGGAGGTAGCTCCAGCCTGAAGCTTACCCCTCAGGCTGGGAGGCCTGTCCCATTCGGTCCTGGCTGTCTGGACTCCCCAGCCTGAGCCTGTCACTGTCTCTGCAGAACCGGGAGGAGTCTGCTGGAGATGCCAGGACCATCGTTGCACCTTGCCTCACCGGTGGCCCAGGAGGACTGAACTCTGGACCTGCAACTTTGGGCCAGCTTGCGTCCATACACAGATGTTTAAGGAGACCTCCTGTGGCACCTCTGCTTGGTGACTGTGTCCTGAAGGATAGAATGTGCTAGAACTCTGCAGGAGGTCCCAGTCCCCATCCTCCTCCACTGTTCTCTCACCCCCGCCTGACCCAGGTCACCCCTTCTTGGGCTTTTGTGTATTTCCGGACAAGTCACCTAGATGCTCATGATATACCTCCTCCTTCCTTCACCCTTTCGCCTCTGCACTTGAGACCTCCTGGGAAAGCCGGGAGGCAGAGGGACTGAAGTGGGCCAGGGAGCTCCCTCTCCCCAGACTACTGTAACCTTGGCCCAGCATGCACCATGCCCCTGGCTGATGGACATCTGGGTGAGGCTCAGCAGGACCGGCCAAGGGTAGAGTGCTCCCTGACCTTCCGTTGCCAGAAGCAGGAAACTTCAGCCTGGAAGCTGGGAGCCAGGTGGTTGGCACCAGGAGGGCTGAACAGTGCTGGAAGAAATGTTGGGGTGCAGTTCTGGTGGCCTCTAAGAGTGAGACTACAAACTTAGGGTCACTATTGCAGGAGCCCTGCACAACAAGATCACTGCGGTGCCCTGAGGCAGGTGCCCACCTCAGGCTGGGTGCTAGGGAAATTTCCCAAGAAGAGAGAAGCAGGTCTAGCGATCCAGCTGGGTGTGGTTTGTGTGGCACAAAACCCCTTGGGTTTGCTTGGCAAAGGGTGATCATGCATGTCCCTCATTACAGATGTTTGGTCTCACACGGGGTCTCTGGTTTCTCAGGTGCTGGGGAGGGGGAGGAGCTGAGTGCTATTGTTCTGGACCCCAGGAAGCTGGAGGGAAAGGGCTTCCGGACCCCTCCACAGGGAGGCAGGAGGTCAGGGAGGCAGGAGGTGGCGATGATGGCCCAGAGGAGCTGCTGCCACGTGGCCTGACTTGCTTGGGACCTTGGAGGCTGCAGATGGTGGCTGCACCTCCTCAGGCCAGCGCTGGGACCTGGACCACAGCTTTCCCACTTCCTGCGTGGAGATCCTCCTGTCCAGCCTCCCACTTGCTGGGGGCCTGCTGCTGGGACGGACTTCTGGACTGTGTTTCTGCTGTGACACGCCTGCAGAGCCCCCATGGCTGCCAACCCGGTCTGCTCTGCCTCTGTGCCTGTGCTGCTATCGAAGCCCAGGGAGTGGGGTGGCTGGGGTTGGGGCCTCCCAAACCCCAGCTCCAGGGCACACGCTCCAGTAGGCTTCATCGGGTCCCATGCAGGGCCAGGCTCTCGGGCTGCCAGAGCTCCTGGCCACGCTTCGGGGCTGGCACTGGGTGAGGTTCCGGCTGCTGCAGTCATGGCAATAATAAACCCGCATCTGCTGACGGGCTCAGGCTGGGCTTCAGTGGCTGTTTGGGGGCCCAGGACAGGGCACGGGCAGGAGGAGGGCAGCCAGGAAGCTGGGGCATGCTGGGTCCTGCCTCCTCTAAGTCTGAACTTCTAAAGCACAGTTCCAGAACAGTCTCTGTACAGTTTACAGTGGAAGCCAGAGCCTGCCCTTTGACATGGAACTCCTCCCCCACCCCTGCCGCCCACTACCAACTTGCATCTTGTCCCTGGGGGCCTCGGTCATGGTCCAGCCACTGTCTTCAGTTTTCTGAACCTCAGTGTCTTTATCTGTAAGATGGGCATGATTGCAGTGCCCTCCTCCTGGGGATGTAGAGAGGCCTGATCCATGCTACAGCTTACAGAATGCCCTGCTGTGGAAGGCAGTGGGGCGCTGGTCTCCGCGTCTCTGTCCAGCCACGGGACTCTCAGCCGAAGACCCCCAAGGGCTGGGGGGTGATTCAGGCACTGGTGGTCCAGACACATCAGGTCTCGATTAGAAGGGGATCCAGCTGCTGTACCCTCCTGCCAAGAACTTAGAAGAGCAGGGTCTTCCCAAGGCCACACCCACAGCAATCCAGCGTGAGTGGGAGAGCAGTTCTCTAAATTGTGGCCATTTAAGTCTTTCCGAAGCCCTCATCCAAGGAAGGGGTTGGAGGGGAGGGGGTCCTTGCCCATCGGGAGGCTCCAGTTCAGCTGCCCCCAAGAGTGATCTGGCTGTCAGGAGCCTGGCTCTCTCCCCAGTGACTCCTCTGACTTGTCATGTGTTCCCTGCCTTCTCTCCCTCCCTCTGTGCCTCAGTTTCCATTTATGCCAAGGAAACTATGATTCTCGCCTTATGGGCTAAATTCGCAGAGATAAACCAAAGTTTTCATGATCCTGGAATGACCCAGGGTGGTCCCTGCCCTCTCCAGGGGGAAGGGTGGGCTTGGGGGGGAACCCAGGAAGGGAAGGAGTGTGGGGAGTAATTTGCAGAGATTTAATAAAATTCACGATGGGGAGGGGCTAGGCAGCCAGCGTGGTGGGCAGGGGAGCCGGCTGGCTGTGTGTGTACATTGGGTGTGCATGCACATGCGTGTGCGTGTTTGTGCACACACATATGTGCGCATGCTCAGGATGCCCACATTAGAATCCCCGCAGGTGCTTGGAAATGGCCCCATAGCCCCAGGATTGGACTCAGACAGGAGAAGTGGGTTGGAGTCCACGTTCCCTGGTGGGTAGGGCCCAGAACACCCCCTGGCCTTGCCTTGTCTTCCTTCTAGATGGCCTTCAACTCTGGGAAGTTGGACCTGTCGCCTGTCACGTCCTGGCTGCAGGAAGGTGTTCCAGGCTCCTGGCTTCTGCCTGGAATATCCTCAATCATTGAGCCTTTTGGGGTGTGAACCAGCAAATGGACGCTCTCTCTTTCTAATAACTAAACATTTAAAAGCGTAACACTGGTAGTAATGACAGCTAATGTCAAAAGCATCGCATTTAGTACTCTCCTCATCATGAACAGGAATTCTTACAGTTTTTACAACGATGAGAATAAGCTACATAGATCAATGACAAATGCATCTGAAAAACTGGTGATTAGGGAATGATATGCATGGTATGGGAGTTTTATCGAAAAAAATTTTAAATAGGCACAGCCACTTTGCATATTAATTGTGGATATTTGCATGCTTGCAGGTTATTTTAAGGCACAGAAATGGTATAATGTTTTCTTTATTTGAAAAGTAGAGAAAGAGAGACCAAGGAGTTCCCATCTGCTATTTCACTCCCCAGGGCCAAGGCCAGAGCTGGGATCAGTACTTTCATGCGAGTGGCAGGCACCCAAAATCTGAGCTCTCACTGCTGTGTCCTGGGGTCTGTGTTGGCAGGCAGCTGGAGTCAGGAGCCCGAGCCGGCAGTGTGCCACCTGTTGGGCTAAACACCTGGAGACTAATCATATCCCCTTCGGCTGTTGAGTTGCCTAAAATATTTCAGAGAAACATAAAAGTTGTTTGACCCATCATTCTGTTTGAACAGAGTAAGTGTCCCCAAGCCAAAATCTGAAATTCAAAAAGCTCCCTGATCAGAACTGTCTCAATCCTTGATGTGACATCCCGGTGGAAAAGTCCACGGCATGAGCAGAATTGCCAGCAGTGTTGTATAGTATTAGCTGTGTGTGTAAGATGTCTGAGAGGCGTAAGTGGATCCCACATTTAGAGTTGGGTCTTCCTGTTAGAAGAATCTCACTATGTACATGCAGAGTATCCCCAAAGAGGAGAAAAGAATCTTGCGACTAGAACACTTCGGGTTCCGAGCACTTAGGATGAAGGAGCCTGGGCCTGAATTCGAGAGATGGCTCTTCAGGGGTTCAGGTTGCTGGAAGTGGAGGAGCCCCTGGAACCCCTACCTGTCCTGGAGCTCAATGGCCATGAGAAACAAGGTACCTCTTCCTTCAGTCGCTTTCTTCAAACTTGTGCTGAGAGCTAGAGACAGAAAGACACCCAAGTGTCCATAGGCTAGCTCACTTCCACAAAGGCCTATGCTTGGCAGGCCCTGAGTCTGGAGCCAGGAGCCTAATCCTGCTTTCTCCTGCTGGGTTGGAGCAGCTGGAGGTATGACCTCTGAACCCCAGGCACTCCAACAGGACACTTGTGTATTTTAACCAAGCTCCTAGTACCCCTCTGGCATTGTCTTACTCAACCCAGTGCGGCCAGCCAAAGGCAGCCCTGGAGAAAGGTGGGCTGAGTGACCCCAGTCATGGCCAGAGGCAGGGGAGAAGGAGGAGAGGCCATGGAGGGCCAGGCACTGGGGTGTAGACCTGGGCCTCCAGTATCCTCCCAGCAGTTTAATCAATCAGGTGTTTTTGTCCTATCACACACCACAAATGACTCACATGCCTGACTATGGAAATGAATCTCAAAAAATGAGTTTGAAAAAAATAAGCCAAATTCAAAAGAACAATAGGAGGGTCTATTTATATAAAGCTACAGAAAGGGCATGCTCAACTTAGAATGATAAAAGTCGGAGTGGCAGTTGTGGGGGTGGTATGGGAAGAGGCATGGAGCCTTCGAAGCAAAAGGGACACGGTGCCTCCCAGGGTAGTGACCCTGCCGTGTCCAGTCCCAGGGTGGGGGATAGCAGAGGCCTCCTCGTGAAAATTCATCAATTGGACACAAGTGCATGCAAAGCTGTCCTGTTATTTTAACATTTATTTAAGACGTGGGCGAGCTCCTATTTGCTGGCGAGCTCCTCAAATGCTTGTGACATCCCAGGAGCTGAGCCAGGCTGAAGCTAGGAGCCTGGAGTTCCATCTGGGTCTTTCACCTGGGTGGCAGGCACCGAAGTACCAGGGCCATCATGTGCCACTTCCCAGGAAGTGGTCACTGGGAGGGTGGCCTGGGCTTGGACCCAGTTACTCTGGTGGGCGATGTGGGGCTCCTAAGCAGTCTTCACTGCTGAACCAACTGCTCAGGGCATGTGCAAGGTTCAGGAAGCCAGGCAAACCCTGAGCTGCACACACACTACCTACATCCTAGGGGCCTCACATCCTCAACAGCCATGAGGGGCAGATTCAGAGTTGGACTACAGGTGGCGTGGGGAATGGGGAAACTGCCATGTCAAACTAGCGGTATAGCTAGGCTGCCAGCACGCACTGAGTAGACAGAGGCTCTTCTGTGCTGCCCTGGGATCACGTGGGATCCGAGCCAAGGTCCTGACCTTTGGTATTTGTACAAGTCAGCCCACGCCTACCAGGGGTCCCAGAGATGATTCTGCAGTGGGCATCTAGGCACCAAGTCTTACCTTTTGGAATCCAAAGACCATCCAGGGCACACCACGACCTCGGACCACTTTGCAGCATCTCTCACCTGCCACCAGGATGGCTGTACTGTGGTTTGAATTCTGCAGCTCTGATCTGTGATGGATGGGCCACCAAAGGTGCTGGGGCCAGGGCTCGGAGCTACAAGAGCCAGGTCCTGTGATCTCAGTGGGGCAAGCCTGCAGGTCTCAAGCCAAGTTAGAGGCGTCCTATGGGGGATGGCCTGCCCTGTCATGACCCTTGAGGAGCTGGCCACTTTCCACATACCTCTGCAGTTTTCTCTAGTAAAATGTAGGCTGGTCCGATAAACTATTTTAACCCAGTGCTTTTCAATGCTGGGTCCGTTTTGCTTTCAGGGGACCTGGAGCACTATCTGGGGACACTTTCAGTTGTCCTGTCTGGCTGGGGGTGGTATGTGTGCTGCTGGCACTAAGGAGGGGTGGAGGCCAGAGGTTTGGTTGAATATGGCATGGGGCTGGTATTGTGGGTCCATTTGCCATCTGTGCCACTGGCCTTGCATATCAGAGTGCTTGTCCATGCCCTGTCTGCTCTGTTTCCAAACCTGCTCTTTGTTGATGCGCCTGGGAAGGCAGTGGAAGATGTCCCAAGTGCTTGGGTTCCTGTGTCAACACGCAAGAGCTCTAAGCAGTTCCTGGCTCTGGCTTTGGTCCTTTGGGGAATGAATCAGCAGATGGAAGACCTGTGGGTTTCTCTCTG